ACTAAAATATCAACTGGCGATTAGAGTCGTCAAGTAAACTATGTCGGGAAAAATTATGTATGGGGGTATAAAAATTTTAGAAATGTTCGAGTGGGACGTGGCGTAAAAAAGGTTAGGTAACACTGAGTTGGACCGTCAGCTAAGCGAAACTAATATAATGAAGTTACTTTTTACGCTGTTACCTTATTATTGAAGTCATTCTAACAAGGATAATATCAATTTGCAATTCAACATTGTAACATAATTCGCTGATAACACGATCGTGTCCAACCGTTATACCGGCACGTGTAAATATTTCTTTTGTGATGTTAAAATGTGTATTTTTCCCTCTATAAAATTAAGTATCGATAGAAAAAAATAGTATATTTACTCCTTAATAGAAAACAACAACGACAACAGCTCCTGTCGGTTTTATTTACTCGTACTTCAAAAATATTTATTCAGTGCTTAAAAATACAACGGAGGCTTGCGAAAACAATAAATTGTTTACAATGCAAGTATAGTATTTTATATATTAATCCGCTAAAAAAATTACTTCAAACGTGAACACACACATATAAATCTGTCGTTTTTCTTTGCGGAATAGACATTCTAACGCGTGCATTCTAATGCATGTGCATGTGTGTGTGTGTGTGTGTGTGTGTGTGTGTGTGTGTGTGTGTGTGTGTGTGTGTGTGTGTGTGTGTGTGTGTGTGTGTGTGTGTGTGCGTGTGTGCGCGTGCGTGTGTGTGTGTGTTTGTGTGTGTGTGTGTGTGTTTGTGTGTGTATTGTCGGGTATGTGGGTGTGTGTACGTGTATACAAACGCGCGCGTGCGTGATTGTGCGCACGTGTTTTCACGATCGAAGTCTCCCTTTTTGAGGAACGTAAATGTAAGGAAACTAAAATAAACAATATGTTTTGCTTATTTTATTACATTTCATACACTCTGGATCTACCCTGTATTCTTATATTTGGTATTACATTAACATACGAATCACACACTATATGCGAACGGTGTTCGGACAAGGGATATTCGTCGTCGGCCTACTTTATTCTTATGCTAATTGAATTGACAACTTTATTCCAAGTTGTCCTGTTGTTGACTCGTACTGATCGATTCTGATAGTCATTATTTCATCGTAAACAAGTCATTACCCGCAATATCATCCGCGTAAATAGAACATATTGTACACATCTTTCAAATTTCACGTCGATTGATTCAGCCGTTAAAATGTCAAAACGTAACAAACAGCTTTTCCCATATATGTATAATATTAGCTATAACCCGCGTCACTGCCTGCGTAAATCAGTAATAAAATATTTATTTATTTATTCTTTTTTGCATCGTTTAAAGAATATTACAAACCAGTATATATATATATATATATATATGTAAATATTATGTTCTTAATATTTTATATTCTTAGTTAGGATATAACCTATCTGTGTAACGAAATCCACTCAAATTAATTCAGTAGTTTTTGCGTGAAAAATAACAAAAGTCTAATTATACAAATATCCCCACAAACTGGATATTTTTCACGTCATTCTTTGACGGAAGGTAACACTGTGCGTGGCTTTGTTTGGGTCTGAATTGGATATACCATCGAAATTATAGGGTACGGTGGCATAACTCTTAAATCGTCGAAAGGTTAAGGGACTATTAGTAATGGAGTCTAACTGACCCATTGCCACGTTGACCTCCAAGCGGTTCCCCCTGGAAACTATCGTGGTTAATTCTAGTATAATTTGTCACGATGACCTAACTGACCTGCTTTCATCGTCACCTATCATCCCTCACTGGTGCTTCGTATACCGATAGCGCAAACGGGGTTACCATTCCATTATCGCCCATTAAAAAAACACTTAAGTCGTCAAGAATAGAAACGCGTGGAGGGCATTGTATACGTCACAGTATACTTTGTAATATCTCTGATGCTTTGTGTCGGTTACCACATTTCATAAGCTTATTTATCATTCTAAATTGCATAAAAAAAACAATACATACATCATCGTCATCATCATTATCATATCAGCCTTTAACTGTCCACTGCTGAACATAGGCCTCCCCCTTGGGGTGTTTTGCCAGTAGTTGTCACGCTTGGCAAACGCAGTTGGCTTAGAGATGTTTTGAGACGGACACTGCTGCCCATCGCTCGCCCTCCCTTAGTCGCCTCTTACGACACCCACAAGAAAGGAAGTGGTTGCTTATTCCATGCGGAGACCACACAGCCTTAAATAAATATATACCAACAAAGAAATCAATATAACGAGAAAGAAAATAATATAAAAAAAGTAAATAATATATAAAAAGAACGTCCGCCCCGAGGGTACCGTGCCATTGTTAAATAAAAAAAAAATCTCTTACAATTGATAAAAAAAAAAGAACATTTCCCTTACCTTAATTTATGGGTACAATTTATGAAAAAGGTTTTTTTTTCTTACGTTAACAAAACAATAATGCGTTACGTTTTTAAATTTAGTAATGCAATATTTTGATAAATAATGATTAAGGACTTCTAATTGAGTAAGTTGTCACATTCGCAATTTCTGTCTGACAATGATTTCGGACTAGAACTAAGAACAAGAAATTACATAGAAGGAATGATAAAATAAAAACTGTTAATCATATGGTTGCCTCTTTTCTTCTTATGCAAATATAATTAGTAAAAAGAGGACGAAAGATACACGATCAGTTGCTATTTTTCTCAATTCATAGCAGGCTAATTTGTAGAAAATGTTTGATATGTCAATTATTTGTCAATAAGAAATTTTACATTACTAGATTATATATTCGACACAGTTTATGTAATAAGTATGCAAGCAGGTTGTATCTAAATTTGGTAGGTTTATACGGCCAAAATACTTGGAAGGAATGAGATTCTAACTGCCCCATTGCTAGCAATATACCCTATCAGGTAGACCAAATCCTCTGATCTGCATCATCCTCACCTATCATCTTTCAATGTTGTCCCCAGTATATACCGCAGGCGCAGTCGCTATTACATTTTCACCTATTAAAAAAAATATTCAAAATACAATTATTCCGCGATATCTATAGAACTATTGAGGACAGAAGGGGAAAAATGTTGGGACACTTGATACGACACGACGAACTTATGAACATTATAATAGAAGGAAGGAGGGGGAGAGGGAGACCGAGACATAGTTACATCAGGCAGATCAAGGAAGGACTTGGTGTCGTGTCGTATCAAGAGGTGAAGAGACTTGTTGAAAATCGTAGTGAGTGGCAAGAGCTTCACCAACAAGAGCGCAGCTCTTAAATAGATAAATAGATAGATGTATAGTACTGTTCACCTCTATAGACGACGGTTACCATTTTCTATCAGGTAGGCCATTAGCTTGTTTGCTATTCTAAATAAAAAAAAGTATAGAAATTTGAACCCTATGCAGATACAAACAGAGACAGATGTACCTAGTTGGTACAACGATGGGTTTACTCTCTTATTACGGAACCCTGAATTGATAAAATCTAGACCAACAAAATTGTTTACGATGCTGTGTTCATGTTGAGTAAACTTTACGAGCTACTATAAGCCACAACCCTCGTCAAATGGCTGTAAGGCATTCCAATTTGACACTTTATGTACCAATTGCTGTAACAAGGTTATATTTTATATCAATTATGTTACTAAACAAATACAATAGAAAAATCCCTTTTTCAAGAGACTACAGTTTGGGGTTTTTCAAAACAGGGGTAAATAGGTTTCTTTTTTTTATACAACTTAGAATGACAAACAAGCTGACGGCCCACCTGATGGAAAGTGGTAACCGTCGCCTATAGACATGAGCAGTACCATGGACATAACAGAGTATACTGTTTCGCCCATGATACCCCCCATGCGTTGCCATTCCTGAGGACTCGGGTGTTATTCCTCTGTACCCTGTAAATTTACGCCATATCCCACCCTTCAAACCGAAACACAGCCATGCAAACACAACTGCTTCACAGTAGAAACACGAATGGGATAGAGGTGTCCAAGCAATCGACTTTTGTACAAAGTCTTTCTCTGATATAATGGTATTATTCAGGGTCGGCAACGCATTTTTTTTATTATTTTCAATCGACTTCAAAAAGATGGAGATTCTCAATTCGGTTTTATATTTTTTTTTTTTTTATATTTGTTACATCACAATCCCACATTTCATTCAATAAATCCCGTCAGGTCTAAACCGATTTGGAAAATTCTTTATCTGAATGTACATAACTAATCGATCCAGTAATTTAGTTTTTAAATAAACAATAACTGGATTTGTCATAATTGAAGTCGGTTCTTTTGTGGTTCACAATCTTTGATTTTGCAATAGGAAAAAAAAAACCAAACATTTCCGTAAAATCAACAATAATGAAATGCTGACGTCGCTATGAGAGCGCGCATCTATCTCGTCTGCACATGGGTCGGGGCGTATCATAAAATTATTTATTAAATGCGAATAAATTTGTGACAACCCTCGCAACTTATACAGGATCTGAAGGGTAGAGGGGTACATTTGGCAACGGTGCCGCTTTCGAAATGAAAGTAAAAAGAAAGTAAAGTGACACTTCTACTCAGTCTGTTTATTCTTATGGTTTCAGTAAGTAGCCCGCGACAAGCCGCACCATAAGAATCCCGTATATTTATGCCGGTACCATACTTTTATGTATAATAATAGTAGAACCTACGCTATCGGTATGCATTGACAGTGCACCAGTGAGGGATGATAGGTGAGAATGGAAGCAGATCTATTTGTCCATCCTGAGGAATTAAGCAACTTTAACTAACCATGATGGTTTCCAAGAGAATCCCATGGAAGTCGATCTAAAAGATTATTAAACTAGAAGTTTTTAACTCCAATACTATCAACTCCTTTCCCCTGTTAGTAAAACCAGGATGATTGGCGAAACTGAAATCAGCTCAGTTGAGCCATCTTGGGACATTCACTGATCATCATACTAAGGTCATGCTTCATCTACAGCTGCCACAGTTAATAAAATAAAAAGTTATGTATATTGTTTTAGGTGCAATAATTTTCGGGTCAGACCAAGAAGTGGCCGGAGTGATGAGGGCAGTTGAGAGAGGGAATGCTACGGGCGCGTTCAGCTGGGTAGGATCTGATGGATGGAGCGCCAGGTCCCTGGTCTCCGACGGCAATGAACGAGCTGTCGAAGGCACGATCAGCGTGCAGCCTCAAGCCAATGACGTCAAAGGCTTCAGGGATTACTTTCTATCATTGAACGTAAAGAACAACAAGAGAAATCCTTGGTTTGTCGGTAAGTCATTTGTATATATATTTTTTTTTTTTTTTTAATTAAGGTACAATATTTTTAAACACTGCCATGTGATCCCAGCTATCCCTTCCATTCTCGTGGGTGTCGTAAGAGGCGTCTAAAAGAACTTAATGGTCAAGGGTCTTAAAACACCACTAAAGTCTAATTGCGGTTATTAGCTTGCCTGCCAAGCGTGGCATCTACTGGCAAAACCCTTCTTATGGGGAACACCTATGTTCAGCGGCAAGAAGAAAATAAAATATATACACTTTTTCTATAAAATTCAAGAACAAAAATTGATGTATCTAATTAAAAAGCCCTTTTAATTAATATTAATTTACATTTAATTAAATTTGTAGTATGTGGTGTTATATATTTTGGAATAAATTTAATATCGTATTTAATTAAATGATTACATTAATTAAATTTGTATTTAATTTAAATTCATTTATTAGCTACTAACTTTTAACTGCTACTTTCTTCGCGTGACCGAAATATGTTCATTATCCAAGATGAAATGTAGCCTATATTCTTTTCCATCCCATACAGTGTATACTAGGTGGAAAGGGATTGTTACAAATAATTTGAAACAGCCCCATTGCTAGCAATACACCCTATCAGGTCGACCTCCACGCGGTTCCCTTTGGAATCCATCGTGGTTAATTCTTGTCGAATTCTTCAGGATGAGTCGACTGACCTGCCTTCATCATCATCATCTATCATTCCTCACTAGTACCCCGCCAGCGTATACCAATAGCGCAGGTGGGGTTACCATTCCATTTTCATCCATTAAAAAAATATACCAAACAGTGATTGGTTAAGCCGTTAAAAAGTAAAAACGGTATAAACCAACAAAAAAACAAACTCACTTTCACATGTATGATATTAATAAAGATTTTAGTATATAATTCTATATTCACTTCTGGCGTAGTAATTGCAGTTTGCTTAAAAGACGTTTGCTTAGGCACCTCTATTCCATTTGTGTTTGCATCGTAAATATATGTACCGTGTATACCGTGTATACTGTTATATCCATGGTACTGCTCCTGTCTATAGGCGACGGTTACCACTTTCCATCAAGTGGGCCATCAGCTTATTTGCCATTCTAAGTTGCATAAAAAAAAGTATAATTTTATCCCATATTAGATGAATTTATGTCAAATCAAATCATGCCTAAAATGTGTAGGGAGTCAATAAACGTAGGTAATTCTAAAGTACTGCTTTGGTATACAGACGAAGTCACAGATAAAAATAGTTTATATATAAGTACATAACATCGTTCAGTAGCTATTATTGACTAGTCATTTATAAATAGAAAAAAATGTAATGAAACATAATAAAACGTTAACACACACATAAAAGAGGACCACATTCAAGGAAAATAAGAAACGTGAATAGTGGGATTTTGGGAAAAAAATGTATTCAATCAAGCACAATAAGACACCTTTTGTTGCTTCCACTGTTATTAAATTGTACGAATCTTTATATGGCGTGTGTTATATGATTTATGTGACGTAAACTGTGGTAGAGAATTAACTTGGTTAATAGTTTACCAAATCAGGAAATAAGCAGAGTTAATTTTGGCTCCAAATAAGGACGCAAGTAATCCAGAGGTTCTCGCGTCGTCTTGAGTGGTAGTGATTTTAATGACTATGATGAATCGTCGATGAGGCTCTCTTTCACGATTGGGGTCCTAACAATGTGTCTCCATCTATTACTTCTCAGAGCCGAGTGAGAACATTCCACAATAGATTGCTATGTGGCAGGTTTGATGAGGTCATTCCGTCGCATTGGTGATCTATCTCGAGAACATTTGCCTTGTACAGAACCGTGGACAATTGGACGTTCCATACAGTTTGCATTTCGGATAATATGGCCAAAGTACTAGAGGATTCGTATTTGAACAGTCGACGTTAACTCTCTCTGTTTTTCAGTTTGTTTAGAATGGTAACGTTAATTCAGCAGGCATTCCGAGGTATTAGCAGCTTTCGCCACTAACATCCCATCTCTAGAGCAAAAAATTTTTCGGCATTTTTAACCCAGAGCTTAATTAGTTGATAAACATAATGAAAATTAATAATCTAAAGTAAAAACCATTATCCTTTCTAATTTTAAAAGCTAACTCGACTCCTTTTTATACGATTTTTCAAGCATTATCTTTTATACAAAACTTGTTCTGACAATAACAAACATAATAAAAAAGAATTAGTCAAAGAGGTGTGATATGCTGAAGTGGTATATTTACATGTATGGGGCAATTGATTTTTATTTCATTTTAGGTTTTTTTTTATATTATCTTTACTTATAGGATTATTAGGCGACGGTTACCACTTTCCATCAGGTGGGCCGTCAGCTTGTTTGCTATTCTAAGTTGTATAAAAAAATATAAAAAAATTTATATCTCTTAAGGATATGTCAGCCTCATCTTATTTTAACCTTAATTAGTAATTTCAAGTACTAAAATAGAGGGGAATCATTGATACAAAAATGCAATTAAAGATTTTGTCATTGCAAAATGCGGATTTTTTATTATTATTTTTTATACTACTTAGATTGGCAAACAAGCTGACGGCCCACCTGATGGAAGTGGTAACCGTTGCCTATAGATTTGACCAGTACCATGGACATAACAGAGTATACTGTTTCGTCCATAATACCCCCATGCGTTGCCATTCCTGAGGACTCAGGTGTTATTCCTCTGTACCCTGTAAATTCGCGCCATATTCCACCCTTCAAACGGAAACACAGCCATGCAAACACAACTGCTTTACGGTTTTTTTTTATGGGTGATAATGGAATGGTAACCCCACCCGCGCTATTGGTATACACCGGCGGGGCACCAGTGAAAGATGATAGGTGAGGATGAAACAGGCCAGTTAGCCTATCGTGACGAATTCAACAAGAATTGTTCACGATGGTTTCCAGGGGGAACCACGCGGAGGTCGACCTGATAGGTCGACCTCCGCGGTCTTCAACCTGGTAGGTTGAAACACTGTTAATTTATTTAATGTCATTGTTAATTCTTTGTAATTAAACAAGTCAAGTAGTCGTCATGAAATCTTTACATAGGCTACCTTTTATCCCGGTTACGTGGACCAAGTCGTAGGCAAAAATAGTATTTATTGCATAATTTGACATTCTATGAAACGAAAGAATGACCAGAATCAGAGAGCCTACCATGAAATGTTTTCCAAAATTTCGGAGCCGAACGAAACACAAATTTAATGTTAAAATTACATAATACTTATCGTTTAAAAACATTAAAAATATTATTCCTTGGGACTTTTATGGTAGGATTTATGACGAACGAAGTGTTAAGCTCCATTTACTGGCCCGATTTAGGTGTGAACAAAAACACGAAATTGAGTCCGAAACTTCGGAATTTCATTTCTTGGTAGGCCCCCAGTGCCTAGAATTCGTATCTTTTCCTTTACATTATTATACACGGGTAAATAGGATTTCTCTCGTAAATAAATGCGACTTTCTTGGAATTAAAGAATAATATTTATTTATTACTATATCAGCCTTTAACTGTCCACTGCTGAACATAAGCCTCCCCTTGGCAGGTTTTGCCAGTAGTTGCCACACTTGGCAGGCAGGTTGGCAACCACAGTTAGACTTTGGTGACATTTTAAAAGGCATAAGCAAAGATACAGCTAATCTTCCCTCGACCATTCAGTTTCTTTAGTCGCCTACGGGAAAGAAAGGGCTGGCCCATTCTACGCCGAGACCACGCAGCTAATATTTGCTTAGCTCATATATATTTATGTTATATTAATATACGTTACTTTATACACAAATTTTCAACCGACTTAAAAAAGAAGAAGGTTGTCAATAACGTTATTTTTTTTATGTTTATTACCTCATAACTCTATTAGTTCTAAACCTATTTGAAAAATTCTTTTTCCCTTTTTTTTAGAAGCTTTATTAAAATCGGTTCGGAAGTTTAGTTTTTAAATCAAAATAATTAATTTTGTTACAATTTCTATTTTTTTTTTTTTAATTTCTGTAACACAATTTTTAATTATTATTTTTATTAGAAAAAATAATGCGATATCAAAATGAAATGAACAGCAGATTTAAATTTGGAACTTCATAATACAAATGTGAAAACCATGTCTAAGTTGATGTGGTAGTTTTTGCCTGACATCGGAACAAACATACAAACAGCCAGATAAAAATAAAAAAAAAATTGCTATAGTATCTATTGGTTTTATTAAAATACGTCTATTAATTTATCTGCCATATCCCTCGATCACTAAATTCCTTTAGTGGCCTCATACAGCACGCACGAGAAAGAAAGGGATGCCCTATTCTATGGTAGGGACCATACGGCAACAGCTTTAAATATCAAGAGATGAGCAGCAGCGTCTCTCTTATAACAGCACCAAAGCTTAACTACGGTTGCCAACCTGCCTCCCAAACATGGCAACTACTGACAAAACTCCCCCTTACGGAGGAGGGCTATATCCAGCAGACGGAGATTAATCGCTGATACGCTACAGTACAATACGATCTCCCACATACAAATATAGTTAAGTTAAATTTTTTTTATATTAGTAAAATTTTAATGCATTTGGTTTCAGAATTCTGGGAAGATCACTTCCAGTGCCGATACCCGGGCAGCCCCAGGACTCCTTACAACTGGCAGTATGAGCGGTATTGCTCCGGGACAGAGAGACTTTCACTGGACAACACAGAATTCGAGAGGCAACTGCAATTCGTCTCCGACGCTGTCCTGGCATTCGCGTATTCTATAAGGTAAGTTTTATCTTCTAAAGCCACCCATATGGGTACCGCTACAATATCTACGTATTGGGTTTCACAGAATTTTGATGGCAAAAAAACCTATTTTAATAGCGCCCATATCTATATTCATTACAATCGGGTGCTTCATATTAATGTTATGTACTGATTAATCGATATTTCATATATTTTTTATTGGGCCAATCATCAATCCAATGTCGATATCGATCCAATTCATTGTCAGTGACAATTTTATATTGCACTTAAAAAAACAAAAATAAGGAATTAGGTTACAATTGGAATAGTTCGTATTGGTAAGTTACACTGGTGTGCCTCTATCAAAAAAATATGGAACCATTATGTCGCTAGTGTTACGGTTCGAGAATGCGAAACGTTTATAAATAATAAATCTACCAGAGAAAGACAAAACAAAAGTTTTGTACAAAAGTCGTTTGCTTGGACACCCTTGCTTGGTTACCATACCATTTTTATCCATCAAAAACCCTCGACCATTAAGTTCCCTTAGCTGCCTCTTACGACACCCACGAGAAAGGAAGAGGTGGCCCTTTTTATGTCGGAAGTATACAAGGTTTTTTTTTAATGAGTGATAATAGAATGGTATCCCCACCCGCGCTATCGGTACAGTTGCGGGTCACCAGTGAAGGATGATAGGTGAGGATGAAGCAGGCCAGTTAGCCTATCGTGACGAATTCAACAAAAAATGTTCACGATGGTTTCCAGGGGGAACCACGTGGAGGTCGACTTGGTTGGGTATATTGCTAGCAATGGGATTCTCAGTTTCCATTGCTAACAATCCCTTTCCCCCCAGTATACAAGGTTTACACGCCACACTGTCAACTGTTTAAACTAATCAATATTCAAACAATTTCATTCCATCATAACTTCACAAATAATTGCTGAATCGCGTGTTTATAAATAAAAAATAGATTCTACTAAGATTGTATTCGACAAAAAAATCCAATTTCCATTGTGGCAAACTAGTTACTTTCATTTAAAAACTAAACTACTAAATTTACTAGAGAGAGACTTTCTATAAAAGTCGTTTGCTTATGTACCTCTATCCCATTCGTATTTCAACCGTAAAGCAGTTGTGTTTGCATGTCTGTGTTTCGGTTTGAAGGGTGGGATATGGCGCGAATTTACAGTGTACAGAGGAATAACACCTGAATCACCAGGAATGGCAACGCATGGGTGGTATCATAGGCGAAGCAATATACTGTTTTATGTCCATGGTACTGCTCATGTTACATGTCATAAGTTGTATAAAAAAATGCCTATAGGCAGGATATATAGATAGGATAGGTTAGTCTGTAAGTTTATCTTTACAAGATAAACATGATTTTTCCAAATCGGTTTACAACTGACGGAGTTATGAAGTGACGAACACTAAAAAAAAATACAACCAAATTATTAACCTCCTTTTTGACGTCGCTTAAAAAAAGAATAAGTTAACCGTCAAAAATGGGGGGAAAGGGATTGTTAATAATGAGGTCTAATAGACCTATTGCTAGCAATATAGGGTATATTGCTAGTAAGCTAGCTCAGGTCGACCTCCACGCGGTTCCCCCTGGAAACCATCGTGGTTAATTCTTGTTGCTTTCATCATGGTGGGCTTACTGACTTGCATTCATTCTCACCTATCATCTTCCACTTGTTCCCCGTCGATATATAGCGATAGCGCGGGCGGGGTTACCATTCCATTTTCACCCATTAAAAAAAACCGTCAAAAAGTGTTTTACCAGTAAATCCTCATAAAATCAGTAAAGTTACGCCGGTAGCTTGCACGCGTCCCTATGTAATCCTTCACGCTCATATATTTTTGCTTTCCTCGTTGATCAAAAATGTCAAAGGAAGGGAAATAGATGTAAAAGCGGTTATTAATACCGTTCGGAACTTCGGGAAATAACTGTAAAATATGCCCTCAATGACGGGTATGAGAATTAATATTAAAATTTTATGGTTTTACGATAAAAATCGGGGGTGTTTTGGGTCGAGAAGCGATATCGTAACAAACTGTAATGCTCGGGATCGCACGGATTTGGGTAGGGTTGCCATCTATCCGAATTTACCCGACTTTATCTTCTTTTGGGAAACAAATAACGTTTGGGTGGGGTTTTGTATTCGAGTGTTTGAAGCCATAGAATTTTATTTTACTTTGTACGGTAATCGGTGTTTGTATGGGATAGGTTTAAAGCCCTGGAGTAAATTTCGCGAACGAATTTTCAATTAAGTTAAAAAAAAAGTTTTAAATATGGACCGTTAGAGATTTGTGTCGGATTAAATTTTACACATATTGTCAGCCCTAGGTTTAGGGCACAAAAGTCACGTGGGTCATAAAAAATAAGTGGGTACCAGTAAATATTAATACCAGAAGGTACGCGCGGTAGCAATTCCTGTTATGTTACGATCCGATAATATATTACTTGTAACATTGCCTTTCTCAACTGACTCCATAAAATAACAATCTCAATTCTGGAATTTTATTACAATATTGTCACATTATTTTTTATATGCAATTGATTGGTTTTACATCCATATTTAGCCGTGTGGTCCGAACATAGAATAGGCCACCCCTTCCTATCGCGTGGGTGTCGTAAGAACCGACTAAGAGCGAGGGATGGACAGCAGCATCCATCTTAAAACATCTGTAAAGCCTGACTGCGGTTGTGCCAAACTGCCTACCAAGCATGGCAACCACTGGTAAACCTCCCAGTAAGGGGAAGACTTATGCTCAGCAGTGGACAGTTAAGGGCTGATAAGATATGATGATTCCCGTATTAGTCTTAGATAAATTTGTTGACAATTGTAACAGCAGTTTTTCTTTTGGGAAACACTAAAGTTTAAAATGTTTATGTAACACATATTCTAATTTGAATATTTTCAATTTAAAGTATCCACGAAACATCTGTTTTTTGAAAAAGATTTTTTTTGGAATGATGGAATGGATGGAAAGTGATAACCGTCGTCTATAGACATGAGCAGTGCCATGGATGTATACTGATTCACCCTTGATACTCCCATGCGTTGCCATTCCTGAGAACTCGGGTATTATCATGAATGGGAAAGAGGTGGCCAAGCCGAAAACAAACGACTTTTGTACAAAGTCTTTAACGGCTCTGGAAACTAGTTCTTTTGAACACGACCCATTCGTGTTTCAACCGTAAAGCAGTTGTGTTTGCATGGCTGTGTTTCGGTTTGAAGGGTGGGATATGGCGTGAATTTACAGGGTACAGAGGAATAACACCTGAGTCCTCAGTAATGGCAACGCATGGGGGGTATCATGGGCGAAACAGTATACTCTGTTATGTCCATGGTACTACTCATGTCTATAGGCGACGGTTATCACTTTCCATCAGGTGGGCCGTCAGCTTGTTTGTCATTCTAACTTGTATAAAAAAAAAGTTCAGAATTAATCATTTGTACACTAAATTCACTGAACAATACTAATTTTTCGACTGTATTTACCACAAATTTGTGAAGGATAATTTAATCATTATCAAACCGTTTTTAATAACAGGTGGTCTAGATCAGCATCTTCATTGATTGATGTGTATGTGTGTATGTATGATTGAAGTCACTTTTTTACAGAATAAAATGTATTAAGCAATATTTGTCAAATGTCAACATTAAAACTTTAAATTGAAAAACATTAATACATGTCTCCTTTCGGGCTTCGTTATCCATATTTGTACAAGATCAGCATCGTTGGTTGACACTTAAAAAGTTAGTTAATTGGTAAACCATTACAATTTTTAATTCAAAGAACTGGTAAATAAATGTTTGATTTGATTTTTCTCTGTGGGGAAATCTAGATTTTCTGCCGGTTCTAAAAAAGCTAATAAAAATTTCAAAGATTCTCTCCATTCTGGTATATATCGATTTATATATAGGTAGAAATATATTTTTTTTTTATTTTCTACACACGTGCCCTGCAACGCTTTCTGCTTTTACCTAATGGTTAACTTGGAGAGCTCGCCATTTGTACCATTTTTTTTGTTCAATAAAAAATAAATAAATAATTAAAAGTTTAACAATAATTAAGAAAGTTATATCAGAGTTACTACTGCTGATCTATCTGAATTAAACATTAGTAGAGACTTCCTATTATTTATCAAATATATGACTTTTTCTGTGAATATTTACAATTATATTACCAGAGGGAGACTTTGTATAAAAGTCGATTGCTTGAGTACCTCTGTCCCATTCGTGTTTCTACTGGGAAGCAGTTGTGTTCGCATGACTGTGTTTCGGTTTGAAGGGTGGGATATGGCGTGAATTTACTGGGTACAGAGGAATAACACCTGAGTCCTCAGGAATGGCAATGCATGGGGGGTATCATGGGCGAAACAGTATACTCTGTTATGTCCATGGCACTGTTCATGTACATAGGCGACGGTTACCACTTTCCATCAGGTGGGCCGTCAGCTTGTTTGCCAATCTAAGTTGTATTAAAAAAAACTTATTTCTTATACATTTCCTACAATTTTTTAAAAACGTAAAGACAACATTATTGTCATATCATCCTTTACTGATCACTGCTGCACAAAAGCCTCCCTTTTGGAGGGTTTTACCACTAGTTGCCATGCTTGGCAGGCGGATTGACAACCGCAGTTAGCCTTTGGAGATATTGTAAGAGGGACACTGAAGCCCATCCCTCGCCCTCCTTAGTTGCCTCTTACGACACCCACGGGAAAGGAATTCTAGGAGGCCTATTCTATACCGAGACCACACAGATATACCAAAATTTTACTCGAATAAAATATTAAGTCGCTTTTTGTATTCTTTTTTTAATTATTTCTCAAACATAATGCACGAGTATTCCCGTTTCAAGTACAGAATCGCGTATAAAAAAAAATAATATAATTGGTAGCAGAGCATGATTATGTATGCAGTGTGCGTGCAATGATCATTAACACACCCATAATTTCGTTATCAAAGTAAAATCTCTCTTATCCCAGTAAACACATAGTTAGATATTCCATGTACCTAAAATC